ATTCGTGGAGTTAGACCCTTTTTGTTTCCAGCAATGTGTGTTTCTTCACCATAAACCTTTTATTTGTCAGTCATCGTAGTGCACGGTTAATATTTATTTAAAAGGAAAACACAAATCCGCATGCATTGATGTCAAATGTTACACACAACTGTACATATATATTTTTTAATCACAGGGGGGGGGGGGGTCGTTTTTATGAAAATGATTTCTTTCTATTTTAATAACCCCTTTATTGTATTTAACATTCTTCTGACCGGCATCTGTGGTATTGGGGTTATGCGTTTCGCCCCTCGCGCACACCCGAGTTGGATCTCCGTGTAGGGAGATTTTTAGTCGAATATCTCGTTCTTTATTTCTGCTGGAACGCTGAATCCCCATCAGTCTGAATTGGCCCAAACAGACAGGGTCACAGCCGGCCTCCTAAATTACAAAAACTGTACCGATTGGAGGCGACATAAGAAAATATTAATTAGATTAAAATCTATGTTCTCCCCTTTACTTTACTCCCGGCAGGATTTTCTGGTCAAGTCCCCTTACCCTCAAAATGGGCTGAGGTTGTCGTTTGTTAGTTTTGTTTGGGTTTCATTTTAAAATAGAAAAATCAGTCTCACATGTTGGTGTAACAAAGAATGAGTCGTAATAAATTTGTTTCTCGATATCTTCAGACCTGTGTTTTACATACAGCGTTTGTTTACTGTGGACATTCGCCTCCAGAGAATTATAATTTCACCATCATCCCTCTTTTGGCATGGCGGCAAGGGTGCATTTACCCGATTTCTTGTTCTTTTTGGAGTTAATTTACATCATTTGCTTTTTACAAAATAAATGTATTCTAATTTTGCAGAGGCTTGGGCTCACGTGTGCGCACAAGTGTTTGTGTGTGTGTGTGTGTGTGTGTGTGTGTGTGTGTGTGTGTGTGTGTGTGTGTGTGTGTGTGTGTGTGTGTGTGTGTGTGTGCGTGCGTGCGTGTATGCGTGTATGCGTGCATTGTATGTCTGTCTGTCTGTATGCGAGAGCCTATATACCTGTGAGTTTTGTTTTTTTCGGAGTTTTAATTTATTGGACTTTCCAGATCCATACCAGTAGGTTATCGCAGATCAAGAAATGGCAACAGAGGAGATAAAAATACAACTTTGATAGGATCCTCTCTGAGACAGAATAATAAATATAATCTATAAAAATCATCACAAAAACACCAATTTTGTAACTTTCTTCTTTTCCCTCGGATATACCCAACATGTCCACCCCACCCATTCACCGACCTCTTCCTTCTGCACAGCTACTCCGATGGCTACTCTGGACCCTATCCGTCCATCTATTTGGGCCTCTCTAACTTTGTAAGGAACGACGGCGCAGACTTTGAGGCCACAGATTCCAGTTCCGGCGGATTCCAGACAGAATCGATCTACTTCAATGCCGGATTGGCTTATTTCGATACAAGAGTCTTGGTGTTCAAATAAACGCATTGACACTTGATGTAAGCGTATATGACCAGAGGGTGTGGCTTACTTTCGGGGAAAATTGATGATGCCACATAAACCTCATCGTGAAATACACAGGATGATTTTAAAAAACCTCTAAAACAAAACAACTTAACAACTTTTTTTCTGAATACCTTGCACAAAAGTAAGATTTACCTTTAGAAAACGAATCGTTGAGGTGTAGGAGAGTCCTAGCTGCAGACATCGTCAGCGGACAGACGTCTCATGGGACTCGACTTTTGAATTCTGTATCCTGGTGATATTCAAAGGCGTGCAAGCGGTGCGTTTTCGACCTGTAGTGGTCATTTTGTCTAGACATTTTAAATTCTAATTCTCTACATGTATAGATTTGAATAGACGGAACATCTCTATCCACGACATCAAAGAAGGCTTTGGGGGCTCTTTTGCTTTCTTTTCGTACTTGTGCAAAACTTAGGTAATGTCGGTGATTATTAGTAGGAGGCGAGGTATTGCTCAATCCAAAAAAAAGCTCTCTGCTCTTTACCTGTCCCCGTAGGATTATGCGATTGTGCGGCCGCGTTTTTTCGCGTAATTCTGCAACATTTGCATAATTTTGGATTATCCGCGTTTTTTCACGTTTTTTTTCCTTTTTTTCACAAAACAATTAATTAACGCCTCGCCATGTGACTAAAGGGACGTAATCACCGTAATGACTCTCATTTAAGTGAAAAGTTGGTTATTTCCCTTGTTAGAAGATCTTGTTTATGGGTTGTGATTTTGTTCCTTGAGCATGTTCAATTTTTCAATCCATCAAAAGTTGTTCTCATGTCTGCTGATGTTTCATGTTTGACAGATGTCCCTGGTCTTAGTAATGTGCCAGTATCAGAGGTCCAGATGTCCCTTTTTTTTTTTTTTTAAAACATTTTTCTTTCCTCTATAGATCTAGATTCTAGATCTAAATCTAGATCTAGATTCTAGATCTATATATAGATCTAGATCTAGATCTACAGCTGAAAGTTACAGAGATGATTATTTTTGTTTGTTTGGTTTTTTGTTTGTTACTGATGTGTATTGTTTTCTTTTCCAAATACACAACAAATTACTGATACAGATATGTTCTGTTTTCAATTTTTCTGTACATAAAACATGAAAATCATGAAACTTCGTGTTGAAAAAGTGCAAAACATGTCGCGAATGGTGTTACGGTAACTTGCAGAATTATTGCATAATTTTGCTTTTTTGTGTGTGCATAATGTGGCCTTCTAAATTTGCATAATTCTACAGGGACAGTCTTTACTAAACTTAACTATGATCTCAACAGGCAAAGGAAACTTGAGAAAAACAACATCTACAAACTTCTGTTGATGTGTTAAACTGCTGCAACTTGCAACATGGCGTGATTGTTGCAACTTTTAGTGGCAGGCCAAAAGCGAATTGGTGCGTCAAACTACACTAATGAGGACGAGGCAAAAAACGGGTTGTTTTCTTTTGCGCTTCATAGAGAAAAACTATTCTGTAGAATTATCTTAAATGAATTTGAACAAATTCCTTTTGACTGTCAAATATTGTGTTCAAATTTGAAACACAAAGCGTCAGTTGGAAGAAAATATTAACACAAAAAACAGTAAAGTTTGTTTTGGATCAACCTGTACATCATGTTAAAAAAAAAGGAAATAAAGTGACTGTAAACAAACACTGTCTTGAAACCAATTTCTTACTTGTTGATATTTAATTTTGTTTTTATGTCCATGTAGTCTAAGTCTAAGGTCAATGTTATATTTTCATGAACTGGTGATTGTCGTGGATTTATATTGTTCTTTTTTAAGTGTAGTAACGTTTGCACATACCTGTATATGAATATAATGTGAGCAAGTGCACTATATGCGCGTTTGTGTGTGTGTGTGTGTGTCTTTGTGTGTGTGTGTGTGTGAGAGAGAGAGAGAGAGAGAGAGAGAGAGAGAGAGAGAGAGAGGGTGTGTGTGTGTGTGTGTGTGTGTGTGTGTGTATGTATGTATGTGTGTGTGTGAGTGTGTGTGTGTATGTGAGTGTGTGTGTGTGTGTGTGTGTGTGTGTGTGTGTGTGTGTGTGTGTGTGTGTGTGTGTGTATGTGCCCGAGCGTGTTCATGATAGCTTGTTAACTTTGGTGATTCCAAAATTGGCCTATTCCATCCCGTCTCAAGGAGTCAGCAACATAATCTTGGTCTTGGACGTTTTTTCCGAGAGGACACAGTAGGTACACCATCGACAGGGTGGCCAGGGAAATCTTCCTCCTAAAAATCCTACCACGCCAAAAAAAATCCTACCACTATAGGTCAAGTTGTTTCTTGCCATTGTCAATGTTAAGGCTCTCGTCAAATAGAATCACGTAGAAGGGGTTATTTCGTACACATCTTAGGATAGCAGAGGACTTCATCACCACTGCGATCCCAAATGTTCCAAGGTAGCCAAGTTTTGAGCGATTAACCTGAAAACTCAGCTATTTTAGAGACTGAAAACATCTCATGAATGAGAAAACTCGTGTCAAAAACTGCTCTAGTTGATTACTATTATATTACTGTCCGAGTACATTCCAAAAGAATCAAAGAAGAATCGAAGAATTGAAGAAGAAGAAGAAGAAGAAGAATACGAAGAATACGAAGAAGAAGAATACGAACACGAAGAAGAAGAAGAAGAAGAAGAAGAAGAAGAAGAAGAATACGAAGAAGAAGAATACGAACACGAAGAAGAAGAAGAAGAAGAAGAAGAAGAAGAAGAAGAAGAAGAAGAAGAAGAATGCAGATAACATCTATAGCGCCCACTCCCATTCAATATAATATAGCTCTTGGCCCAAAAGTTTATTTAAGAAGAGGTTTAACGGCGCTCGCACGCAACTGCATGAGGTCATATGAGCGCCAAGGGGTGGATGTCAACAGAGAAGTCCTTACAGGGAATCGGACTTACTCTGCTCACCTTTCTAGCTTCAACAGCACAAAGTCTGTTTCGAATATCAAGGCAACCCGGAAATAGCGGGTCACAAGAGTGTGACAAACATACAAAATTTAAAAGTAGAGGAAAAATGACAATAGTAAGGATTAGGAAAGAAAAAGCAGCAGTTCCCAGTTATAGATCAGGCACAGATATGAGCGTGACATTGATGAATCAGCCCATTTACAATTCTACTGTGCATTTATCGTATTTATCAAACTACATACTGGCAATCATTCTTCGGCTTTCTCTGCTTCAAAATAGTTCACAATGACTGCACAATTAATTTTAGTAAGAGTTTTATGGCACCTGCAACACAATAAGGTCATACAAGTGCCAAAGATTAGAGGGGTTACAAGGGAATAACAAACACAAAAAAAGAAGGAGAGATCAGGACGACCGATATTTGAAAGGAAAGAAGGAGCAAACCACACCAGAGCACCCGCCAACCACCCAGGACTGCACAATGAGTACCATTACTGCTGTGAGAATCCAAAAAGCCAAAAAGCGAGACTGTAACACCACCAAACCAACAAAGAGGTGTAAGGAGGCAGAGAGACACGTATGTGCAAAATACTACATCAACACAAGTAACACATTTCAAATACTTTATTTACTTGTCACATAATTCATTGAACAGCAACAAACTGCATTCGACAAATTTCTTAAAAAATACAAGCCTTATCAAGTCAAGTTCAGCGAAGTAAATTTCCATAGACCCTACAATTGTACATGCCTATGTTCCTCATGGTACGAAAAATAGCTATTACCTCATCATCGTTACTGAAGGGATATGAAAATGGGTAATTTTGTAAGTCCCAGTCCCTACATTTCCAACAATGACTCATCTTATCTATCTTAACTCATTGACCCTGAAATTGATTTCCACGGTTTGAATTTTTTTTTTTACAACTCAGCTCAACTGACGTTCTACCACTTTATCTCAACATGATGTGATGTGAATCAACTCAGGATAGACACAAAGACATAACATAGACACGAAGACAAAGTAGAATAGCTTCCCTTTAGAGAACTTTTGTACAATGTTTTCTTGCATCCATAGTGTTTACATGAGAAAACCTATGCGCATCAAGAAGCTTCACCCGCTGAGGAGCACACGCTCCGGTTTAATGAGCTAAATAAATTATTTTTGAAATCTCTGCAAGGTAAGATGGAAAGACTGTCTACACTTTGACACTGGAAACAAAACAATTAAAGTGAAATGAACGTATCAAAGTAATTGGGATATATAGTCCTATGTTAAGGCAATCCTTTGACACAATAACAGACAAATATAAACCATAACAATCTCTAAAGAATTGCTTCATCTCATTGACAAATTTTCAGTCAACAGAGAAAAAATGTAAACCAAGCCACAAAGAAGGCAATGTACAAAAATAAATCAAACAGGAAAGTTATGAAACAAACACCAAATAAAATACGAAACACAATCTTCCCCTCAAAGTAAAATGACACATCTTTGGTTCCCCTCAGCTTTCTCAATCTCACGTAAGTGGTAAGAGCCAGCAACAGTTTCAGAAAGGACACATAGGTCGTACAAATTTTTAAACACTTTTGGCAACACAGGTGCCACTTCCATCGTATGCATTGTCACATTTATTAGATTGTACCAAAAGACATGAAAGAATCTACTGCATAAAATAAGCCATAGACTATAAATACATTTTACCTTTCTTTAAAATGGAATACTAAAATTTATGGAACTCCTAACACACTTTCGTTGTTAGAAAATTCTGCTAGACCTACCATGATAGACAGCACCAGAGCAAGTAGAACATTCTTTCCTTAAGAAAAACAAAACAAGACATCATGAAGCTACAGACGCAAGGAAAGACAATAATACAGTGGTAGGTCATGAAAAACCGACGAACTTGATTCCTATCAACAAAGTTATGTTGCCATTGCCCACATAAGACTGGACAATAAAAATTCATGCGAGGAACACCCCAGACTTTCGTATTTCCAGAAATTTCTGGAAAAGAGATTTCCCCAGCCTCAGTTTTAACAGTACCCACAGAAGAAGCATCCACCCCAGAAAGCACTCATCCGTTGACCATCATTCGAGGCACAATGCTCATGGCCATCAGCTCCTGGAACAGCAGCTTGCAGGCGTACGGGATGCGGATCTGGGAGATCTGGACAGAGAAAAAAACCCAACATAACATAGATATATCCTCACCGTCGTTCATCATTGTTGAGTATGTCAAAATACACGGTTTTTAGGAGAAGCATAAAAACTGCTTATTTCAGGCTGGACATTAGTCTAATACAAAATCTTTAATATATGTAAATCCATTACTATTTTAAGAAGGGGAATGAGACTAGGACCAATAAATGAGCCTCATCAAACTGAAACATACTTAATTTTTATTTTTTTTTATTTTGATGTAATGCAATGTTGAATGACTGCCATGATATAAAGCTCACATCAAAGGACCTGTAGCATTTTTAAAAACCCAACTTTTTCATGTTTTTTAAACTCTGGACTTCATAATTTCCATAACCTTAGTCATTCATTTTTTCACTTTAACCCATATTTGAGGTCCTCAAGCTCTTCATGATTTAATCCAACAACAGTGAAACAAAATTACCACTGCCCACCATGTAAGTGTTGCAGCAGTGGAAAAAGAAGTAAATGGGAGACTACTAGTATACTAGGAAGACAACTGATCCCCATTGTCAAGTGTTGTTCAAAATAATACAACTCAACATGCCTCTTCATCCCTTTTCATAAGCAACATCTACTTAAAAAACTTGACTAACAAGAAATTATCTATTTGCAAGTAAATAGTTTTTATTTTATAATAATAAGATATTGCAAATCTGGCCCTCACACTGTAAGGTAACCAATAACATAACCTAAACCTTTTTATTTCCTGAGGTCTAGATACAAGTTGAACATATTCAAATTAAATCTGTAACAAACTCTGCAGTCATAACAATACCATGTTGATTCAAAATACACTCAAACATAACCTGCATTTAATACAAATACCCTTAACCATTGCTATTTCAAAACACCTCATGAAGACATTTAAAAATAAAACTGTAAACACTATCCACCAAAAATAAAAAGCAGGAGACAGAAACAAAATGCACTTTACACCTTCCTGAACAAACATTGGTGAAAAAGTCTCTTCCAACGCTCGTCCAAGGACATACCTGTGTCTTGTTCTTGCACGAGCGGCACTCGAACGTCTGGTTGCGCAGATTGGCAATGGCAATCAGACCGCACAGGTTGCACACATGCACACGATACGGGTCAGAAGCTTCAAACAAACGTTCTCGCAAGAACTGAGCAGCTCCGTGAGCAATCTGACAGTCCCGCTCCATCTCTCCAAACCGAAGACCTCCATCACTGAGGAAAGAAAAAGAAATAACATGAGGCTTTGAAAGCTACTTCCACGTTTCTTTTCTTAGGAAACTCAATCAACATGACGTAATTCTCCATAGAAAAAAACAGAAGACCTAAATTCAGTTTTTACACAAAAGGCAGTCAAACAAGTAGGAGTCTCAGCCATATTTGTAGTCAACACAGCAACCCTCGACAGAAACATGATCAATGTCGCCTTGTACTGCAAGCAGTTTATTTTTTTGACAAAAAACCTTACATATAAAGGCTTTCAGCGCTGCCTGTGCTGGGCATCTCTTACTTCTTCAGCCCACATCTAGGACACCTGAACAATAGACATGTCCATTTCAAGACTTTTTAAAGTTAGTTTTAGTAGAGGTTTTACCGCGCTCGCAACTGCATAAGGTCATATGAGCGTCAGAAGATTAGAGGTGTTACAAGACAGTAACAAACATAAAAAAGAAGGGGAGAAAAGGACGATAGATGTTTGATAGGAAAGAAGGAGCAAACCACACCAGAGCACCCACCAAAACCCACATTTCAAGACATATGCTGAGGATTTCAATATTGCTCTTGCTTGCATACAGCTACTCAAAACAAAGTAGGTTAGGAGGGTGGGACACATAGCAAAGAACTAAATAACTTAATGATCAAGGACTTTTCCAGGTCAAACAATCACATGTAAATTTTCTCCTGGCTCACCGAGATCTTCCCTCCATAGGCTGTCGGTTGAGAATCTGCACGGGTCCTCTGGCACGGGAGTGGATCTTGTCGTCCACCATATGCTTCAGACGTTGGTAGTAGGTGGGGCCCAAAAACACTTGAGCATTCAGCTTGCGGCCAGTGAAACCATTGAACAGGACCTGTTCATCGAGAAGGAAAGAGGGAAAAAAGGCACAGGTCACAATTACAAGTAACATGTCAATTCACACAATGTATGAACAAGACTTCTGCTCACAAACAACATCCCCATTCCTTTGACTAGGTGAGCCCACATAACAGACATACAGATAAAAACACATTTCTTTACAGAGCTGATGATATTGCAGAAAGCAAAAGAAAACCAACAAGATTTTTAGTTAACAAAATGCTAAATATCTTAATCCTATCTCTACACCGATGGTAAAAGAAATAGATCACCTAGCCCATGATGTCCATGTTTTATTCGTTGCAGAAGTCAACCAGAAGACATAAATAAACACATAAATTTAAAAAAAGATTTTAGAGGGCATTGAACCATGAGCCTACTAAGAGAAAAGTTGATGTGGACAATGATGGCATGATAAAAATAGATTCCCATCGCCGTTTACACAATCTAGATCATTTAAGAAGTAGGCTGTTTCAACCCATAACTGTTAAAGGCCATTCTGGGCTGATTACATGGGATATAGTATCCCAATAAAAAAGGTGAAGATATTTGAAAAATAACTTTTCCCACAGGAGCATCCAACTCATGTCTTCTACATGTAATGGCAAAGAGAGCAGCCATCAAACCAGGCCCAGTAGACAACAGCATCTTTGTAAAAGCATAACAAGCCACAAAGAATCCAGCCAACCTCATTTCCTCTCAAGTTGTAGCCATAGCGCTGCAGCAGCTTGGAGACTTTCTGCACGTTGACAGTATCATTGAAGGGGGTGGCGTCTCCAATCTCCCCCTTGTTGGCAGCCACCTTGCCCTGGAGGCACTCGATTAAATGGCCAATGGTCATTCTGGATGGAATGGCGTGGGGGTTGATGATGATGTCTGGCGTGAGGCCCTCACAGGTGAACGGCATGTCCTGCAAGAAAAGGCAAAGAAATCTTTAGTTTATGAAGAAAATGGCGATTCCATGGAAAATGAAACTGCAGTGACAAACCTGACATGGAAAGGACAATCCACTGAAAAAAATTCTAAGCACAGACAGAGCCATTTTTTATTCTTACCTTCTTCTACCAACCCCCCCTCTCCCCCCTCCAGCTCTTCACTGTTTGGAATTTTGTCAGCAAGTCATAATCTCCTTATTATACGTGTCACTGCAGTTACTTTTTTAATGGGATGGCCGAAATAACAGAAAGCTGAAAAAGTATTTCTTCTTCCCCACAGATAGGAAATTTCCAGCCATACCTTTCTCGAGTGGTAGTTCATGCTGAGACAACACAATAACACTCACACCTGGCCAAGAAAACGACGAGCTGCCCCTAGCTGCAGCATTATCAACTGACCCGAAAAAGATTCACTATCAACTCTCGTCAGCCACAAATATGGCACTAGATACAATTTTCATCCTTTTCCAGTAGTTTCAATTACTGCTGAGACACATCTTGCCTATAATCCCTTACCCTTCACTAAAATTGCCAAATACAAGAGGAAATCATCAAAACTGCTCACTGCTTGTCCATGGCCAAAAAGCTTCACTAAAACCTAGGAAGCAACATACATTAATACAGTATTAACAGAGAATAATTAAAAACCAACATGACTCAAGAACAGTCAGCAGCAAGGGGGGTGGGAGGGTTGTAATATCCAAGACCTACCTCTTGTCTGTATGAGATTCCACAGGTTCCTTTCTGCCCGTGACGACTAGCAAACTTGTCTCCAATCTGGGGTGTCTTCACAGTGCGCACCCTGATCTTACAGAACTTGTAACCTTCATTGTTGATGGTCACCATCACCTGGAGCACAAAACAAAAATTCTTTATCATGTTGCTGCTGAGGTATCAATAGCTATGAAAGTAATACCTCTTTCTTTCCTTTTGTCGGATTATTCACTCAACCGCATCTATTACTACTGAACAACTGTTGTGGTGAGTTTCCAATCAATTTGAACTGACAAGAAAAAAAGAGTTTGTTAGAATTAAAGGGTACGTGTAACAAAAAAACCTGAACTTATACCACTGAGACAAAATTTATCGCACTTGAAATCCACAAACTAACACTTCTGTTTTCGCTGATTTCCTAAAGATGGGAAAATTTCACCATCACTTATCTATTGGTATAGTTTTCTGAACCAGTAATCTTATAACCCAATATTTTAGTTCAGAGGAAGTCACATTTTCAACACTGACAGACCAGTACCTGGTCCACAATGCCAGTCTCACTTCTTCTCATGAACACACTGGAGTCTCTCTTGCTGAACCTCTTGGCTGTGCTGTCCAGCTGAAATACAAGAGTCGATACAGAGATAAGACAAAGGCATGTATAAGACATGTATACATGATGTTGTTTTGGTCAAGTTAAATTTGCTTGGGAACTGGTCCAATAACAGTTAAATCCAGAATATTTCGAGAATGGCAACACTGTAACAAAATGAAAAAAGTGCTTTTCTAGCCTTGTGCTATACAAATGCAGACCTGCCACTCTATGAAACCTCAAAATCAGGATCTCAGGGAGAAAAAATCGGGATTTGGTGAAAAAAATCGGGATCAACAGCAAATCACCAAGGTGACTGCGAAAGCTACTTAATATTTTTCCACAGGTGTCCATAAATTACTTGGCATATATGCACTCTGAGTGTCTTTGTTTGTTTGTGTGCGCGCGCGCGCGTGTGTGTGTGTGTGTGTGTGTGTGTGTGTGTGTGCGTGCGAGTTATTAATTTTTGTAAATCCTGAAGCATCCCTTCAAGCAGTCCTAGTCCAAGTGTCTATACTCCCCCCCTCCCTCCACCCCACCAATAAGTCCCGAAATACATGAACTTAAGTTGACCCCATTAACGGACGGTCCCCGACACGCAGAACTCACACGGCGATATGTCACGTGACACGAATGCGCGATTAAAACAATTTTACTAACGGGTCCGACTAACTGTGCGTTCACTCAAAACACTCGGATGAGCGACAGTCGTTCTACTTCTAGTACTCTAGGATAACGACGGAGGCCGACCGACCAATTGTACCAACAAATCTCTTATCCCTTATAATGCGTTCAGACTAAAGCAACGACAACGGCCAAATGTTAGTCTTATCAGCGCAGTTACATGTAGTTGTGTAAGGGTCGGTCGTCCGAGTGTTTGATGTGAACGCGCAGTTACCAGACTCCGGACAAGGCTTGTTTTGAAAGTAACAGCGAAACTACGAATATTATCGATTATTTGTATGTCCCAAATTGTAACAGTTACCAGGCTATCATCGGAGAATTCTGAGTGTGGGCAAAGATCCCACACAACTTGGGGCGAGTCAACTACTAAATGCGGCATCGATATTTCGGGAAATAGTGCCCCGAGTTCCTACTGACAAAAAGGTCAACGGGTGCTTCCCGCGATAAAGGAGAAGGCAGAGTAAGTTTTTAGAAAAATACGGCAGAACAGCAGACTGGGACAAAAAATCGGGATACACGCGATCGAAATCGGGAAAATCGGGATGCTTGAGATTTGGGGCAAAAAATCGGGATATCCCGACTAAATCGGGATGAGTGGCAGGTCTGCAAATGTAAGATACAAAGTAGAAAAAGAGCAGTCCAAACACCTGTGCCTGACAATTTTTTTAAAAAGTCAATGATTAGAAGCAAAAGTCTTTCTTTTGATTTCAGGAAATATTGTGTCATCACAACTACAAACAGCAACTGTAACACCCCAGGGCTGCCAACCCATCTCCATGTTTTTTAGCAATGTCCATGAAGAAAATTAGTAATTTCCTATAAAAATTCGTAATAGTGCTCTCATTTTCAAATTACTAAATTACAACCAACAAAAATATGTCTTCATTACGAAAAAATAGGGCTCGTGTCTTTCACGATGCTTCTATGCTTCTACTCGCGTACGGTATTATTATGGGCAAGGCTAACTAGCGCAAAGTAGGCCAGCTGTTCCTTTTTTTTAGGGGGGCGGGGGTTGATTCAGAGATTGGCGGTTTTCCGACTATTGGTGGACGATTTACAGGTCTGCACTAAGATTTGTAAAATTAAAAAAGGGCCAAAAATCTACTGACAGTAAAAATCGTAATAAATTGCCTTACGCTCAGAATTTCGTAGCGAAGCTAAAAAATCGTAATGATTACGAAAAAATCAGAATGGTTGGCAGCCTTGCCTCCCTCACCCTGCCAGATAATCAAAAGTGCAGTGGATATTTCAAGCTGTATCATTCGTATCGTCTATCATTTTCTGAGTTCACTGCTGGAAGGAAAAACCAACATACTCCCTCTGTTTTCTTTGCTAAAATTAACTATTACAAAATTTGATTTTTTTAAAAAAAGACCTCATCTCTAAGCTGAGTAGATGTAAATAGTAACAAAGAGGGCCTTTGTCCACCGGCCAAAGATGTACGCCCTCCACAGTTTGATTTAAAAACATAAACATTAATATTCCAAAACATACGAGTGATATTAAGTAAAGTCTATATCCTCTCTCTCTTCCTCACTTAATCATCATGGAAAACACCAAGCCTTCTGCCAGCAAAAGTGCTATTTCGTGTATCACTCAAAAACAAAAGCAAGGTTAAAAAGTATGCAGGCGACTAGTTCCGTGATCTAAATGAAGAACAAACCTCATCATCATTGGCCGGCAGGGTGAGCGTCTTCCCAATGAGCACATCATCTCCTGACACACGAGTGCCTGGGGCAATGATACCATCCTCGTCAAGTTTGTCATAGATGGCAGCTCGCATCCCTGGTGAAAGTAGTCGGCAAAGACTATAATGATCAGGTTCATAATGGCAAACAACAATTTTCATTTCACAACCATTCCACAGTGTGGACCAAAAGATTTTCATAATTAGAGCAACCGTATTTGCTGCTGTTTGTACTAGCATATTAAATTATACGACTTTTTTAAAGTACCTCTCCATAACATATAAATATGCCTATGAGTATCAAGTCAATGCCCGTCTCCAAATGGGTGCAGATGATTTGTCATAGCAAATCAAACTCTTTTAATAATGAAACAATGACTGGTCTTAACAAATGTAAGCAAAGTAATATCTTTGGGGGGAAAAAAGGGTTAGAAGCTTTTACAAAACTGCTCAAAACAATTATCTGTTTTACCAAAAGAATAACATGCTCCACATACATCATCTAGTCGTTGAAATATTTTACCTTGGACTGTTTCCCTGTTGGGCTTTTCAAATATTTCCTCTTGGTCAAGTCCTTTCTTTGACTCTGCATCTTTGTAAGACCGGAAGAAAAATGATCTGTAACATAGAAACAAACACTCTGGACTGTTATAACAAAATTTTAAACAGGAAACAGAAAGTCAATGAAGAAAAAAGCTTGGAAGTCTAAGATCACAACAATATATCAGCAAAATGTCCTTACTCCCATTTAAAAAAAATAATGCAGAATCCAGTGTTCAAGGGATTAGAAGTGAGATAGGCTCACAAAAAGTCCCAAATGATGCTGGTGACAAATTGTTTGGGAGGGTGTTCATGTGACAAACCTTGCTTAAAAAAACAGTGTTGCACAGTGAGGACCAATTTGTAAAAATTATCTGTGTTGGGATGATATTCTTTTCTGTGACATCGATATTACCACTAAATTGCTTTATATATGCACTGTACTTTCCATTGCAATTCTACTTTCAACAAAGGGATCAATAAAAGTGTGTTGTTGGGTCTTTTTCAATCTAACATAAAATTGGAAAATTGGCTCAAACAATCGTACAAAGGTGTCCAATATTGCTTGTAATTGAGCCAATACATTTTTGTCCTTCGGTGTTCCACTGATAACAACTTTAATATCATAGACATGAAAGCTGTGCACATCAAGATTTTAAAAGTCAACACACCCCATAGAAACGGAAGAGAAGAAAGCAATGTCCAGAGCTTGCATGACCCAACCAAAACTAATAACAAAAACAAAATAGATCTTGTTAGACAAGCAACTTTCCCAAACACCTCAGTTTCGTCTAGAACTGTTGAACTTACCGGAAGTACCCTCTGTCAATGGCCGAGGCATTCAGAATGACAGAGTCCTCTTGGTTGTACCCAGTGTATGAGGCAATGGCCACAATGGAGTTGATGCCTGAGGACGGACAGCAAAAATACATTACAAGTTATTACATGTACTTCAAGCCAACATTTTTTTAAAGCACTACTCAATACAAAGTTCAGATTTGAAACAACCAAGCTTGTGTTGTGAAATAAAAAGTAAACCCATGTTATAAATAAAATGGTCTCGACAGAGAATAATTGATATTGTTGCTCTCCATACATCCATGTGATCAAGGCTGATCTGTACGAGTGTTACTGAGCATGCAAATCCTACATTTAGACTTGGAGAGCACAATAAGTGTAGTTTAAATGTGCATAAATCAATTAGAGAGCAGGTGGCCAACGATATCAAGATTGGACAAATCAACTGTTTTGTGCTACCTACCTAAAACTGAAGCCACTCTAGTCAGTAAAAACAATAAGAGTACCTTCGAAAACAGCATGTTGCTACCTGCCAGACAAGGAATGCTTTTTGATTGATAGAGATAATATGGCCATGTACATAAAAATTAACTGCACTATGAGATGGAATATCTTACAATCAGTTACTCCCCTGAGTTCTAGCAGAGGTACACAGAAGAACAGGCATCTTCTTACAGTTCCTTGCCCATAGTCAAGATCACTCACCAGCAGGAAGCTCTCTGAACCTAAGGTACTCCATGGACCTTGTTGTGACCAGAGGTTTCTGAGGGTAGAACAGTCCGTGAGCCAAGGTGTCCATTCGCACGTGGTAGTTTGTGATGTAGACACCCATAGCTTGCTTGCCCATAGCAGACTGGTAAGTGTTACGAGGAGACTGGAAAAGGGACAGGGAAAATCAAATAAGATATAAGTGTTGCTCTCACAACAGGTATCCTTAAAAAAATATTCCTACACACTTGAAATTTGTTATCATACCCTATTTTCTTGCACTACTGGATCCTCGAAGCATAAAACAATGACAGGAATAAAAACTCGAACTTTTTTTGCTAGACTTTGACTGTCGTCGCCGTTGCATACAATTAATAATACTCTGTATAGGTCTGCTAACAATCTGTTTCAGAAGTTTTGAAACATTTTAATCCAGATCAGCAAATCTCAAAATGAACATGGTGACAGCTTAACAATTACTTCCCTCATAAGTACAAAATAATTTCAAATCAAATCTCACTACGAACAAAACCAAATAAAACAGAAAATTTAAAAAAAATTTCAAACCTGGTTGTGATCGGGGAATGGGATGATGGAAGCGCAGACGCCCAGGATCATGGCCGGGTGAATCTCACAATGGGTGTAGGTGGAGCAGTAGGCGATACCCTTACCGTCGGACATGAGATCGGCCGGGGACATGGCCAGCATCACCGTCTCTTCCTCTAGAGGGTCAATGTACTCTACCACACCACTTGCAACCAAATCTTGCCAACTGGAAACAAAAGGAAAAGCAAGTTGCGAAAGAGTAATGAAAATATAAAATCTGTTGATAATGCCCTGTCACCAAAAAAAACAACCTACACAAACTCTATATAGTATCCATTTAAGGCAGTAAAAGACAATAGAGTGTAAGAGGCAGAATTTATAAATTACCCTTCAGCTTCAATATGTTAAAGCTAAAATCAGCCAGTCACAAGTTACATTTACATAGAATAAAACAAACCAAAACAAGCTCTCTCGTAAAGCCCAAATAAAAGTCCTCTTCTTTGCAACCTTACGCCAAGCGGCAAGACCCCAAAAAAATATACAAAAAATTAAAACCATATGGGTACTACTAAGCCACAAAATACATTTCTATAAGTCTCTAGTCCCATGGTAGCTTCGGCTGAAAACCATAGTTACAATGTGCCGCAGACATAAGAAGTATAATGTCTGGTTTGAAGAAAGAAAGCTACTAGAGTTGACAATTTACTTCATTGAATAACAACCCAGCTCATCATCATCACCTGTAATTGTTGAACTCTCTCTGTTTCAGTTGTTTAATGTGACTCTGCTTCAGTAACATTTTCTGGTTCTCGACGATCAGAAGGGGTCGACAAATTCTGCCAGCATCAGTGTAGATTCTTATCTCTTTATCACCAAAGTCTCTGATCATGGACACCTGAAGACAAAAAGGTTCTCCAAATATGAACAAATGTAAAGAACAGAAGATAAAAAATAATCTCAACTTTCTCCTGAACAATTGACCCAAGTCTACATTTTCCTTTACAGCAGAAGCTGCTATAGATTTTTTTCAGGAGAGAATGAAAAGCTTTTGATCCTACTCATTTTCAAAAGAAGATAGCCATTACCTTAACCTGAACCCTTATGTGTCAAACGAAACCTAACTATGTCTTGTACCATCAAGTCAATATCAGACAATACTATAAGGAAATTAACTCTTAAGCAGTCAAGACAAGTCCCCCTAATTTCAGAGTTCTTTCTTAACTTTTGAACTTACGACCACTGCTTACACAATAACTGTTTACTCAAAGAAAAAAAAAACTTTTTAAAAAATTGCGGGAAACGCAATTTATTATTTCATAAATACACGATAAAGATAGACAACAGAGGAATAAAAATGAGTTTGAGGATTGAAGACAAGAGCACACTCCCCAAGCAGGTCGTTAACAATCAATACGACTAAAACTCCTCTGTTTGCCACACTTATAAAATGTTAAGTGCATTCACTAAGTTAGTGAGGCAGCAAACAAAAGATGCTGACACCTTGTTACAAAAGAAGGGACACACTGAATAACCCAAAGCACCACAACATAGATAAATGAAAAATGATAGGAAATAGCCCGACAAAGAATAAAGCACCAAAGAGCCTCCACGGCAACAGCAGCTAAAAAGACAGAGTGACAGCTGCAGGTCCTTATAGATCGTGGTATAGTCCAACAGAAAGTGTATATTCTGACATGCAATAGAAATGCGGCTGTCAATAGGAAATGAAGAAAAATCAAGCATGTCTGGGCAAAGCAAATGAAATGGTAAGTCTTGTCCCCAAATTCTTACCTCCGAGACAATGATGTCCATCTCACGCCTCAGTTTCCTCAAAGTGCTCATCAGCTGATCAGCATCCCTGTGTATGCCAACCCAGCAACCATTCACAAAGATTTTGGTGGCACTGCAGATAGACCACAGAAGAAAAAAAATACAAATTATATGATCAATGTTTTATTTTAAAAATAATGATAATATAAAGGGATTAATGAGACACTAAACATGTACTTACTTAGAATGGAAGTGGAATGAGTGGAAAGTCCTAAAAAATGCCATCCAATTACCATCTGAGCCCTTTCAGATCTCAAGTACCTCAAACAAAGTGATATTTGACAGCTGTCTAAAAATCAGCAAAAGACAAACCAAAGTTAAAAGATACAAAAAAAACAAAAAAAGGAAAGCAAAATGTAGCAACAAAATAGACTGAAATCTTTATAAGACAATATAACTCAGAATAAGTGATTTTTAAAAAAGGAGATTGAAATGAAAGACAAATCAACGGCAATTGCAGAAGTGAAACACTTTTGAGTGGAACAAGAAAAAAAAAAGGTAAAATCGTCATTACAATACGTGCAAGTGAACACAGTTACAAAGAAGTTCCATCAGAAAGGTATATTAACAGTCTGAAAACATGGAACACTAAGTTAATCTATTAAAAATTGACTAATGAATAAAAATGAATTTAGGACTGATAACAGGCTCATGGACCTCTCAATAATTCTTTAACTCTGAAGAGTTCATTCCGGGCTCTCCGACTTTTATTTTAAAATTTGGTCCTTTCTCTTGAAAAACAAGTCAGTCTATCTCGTCTCCTGGGTCAGATAAAAATTGCACATTTACTGACTTAATGCATACACTGTTTCTTTGGAAGATCCAGACCCATTGACATCATTCAGTATCTACTGGCATCACATGCGACAGATAAATAAGACACGCTGCTACAAAACTTACTCAGTGATAGCCGAAGGAGCCACTTCTTCCAAGTTTTCCATGCTCCACTCCTCCAAAAACTCCAGGATGGGTGATGGTTGGGATCCCACAGAAATGTACGCCATCAGGGCCAAGTTTTTCACCAGTCCGACAGCTCCTCCCTTTCGGAGTCAAAATTAAAGGTACACATAAATACAAACCAACCAAAGAAAGGCAGTTTGAAATATTTCATTATAGTATATTTTGTTTGACACTTTCTACCCACGCAGCGTGTAACACTTATCCCCACGGACCAGGATACAGGTGAGGTAAATGCTATATTACACCGGCGCCACACCGATTGGCGTCCCGTGGGGGCAAAGTGAAAAATCTGTATATCCTAAAACAAAAAACGTTGCAATATTCATTTTACCAAAAACATCTAGCTCTCTGCAACATTCTCTTCACTCGTTACGTCATTAAATACAGTATGAAATAGATCTTATATTTCCAAGCAGAAAAACTGAAGAAAGGGAATTCAATATCATTAATATCACCTAAAAATAATTTACAAGACGATTTGGGAACTGTAGCGCTACCAGTTCATAAAACAAAAGAGGTACAACAACAGAATCACAGCCGAAAGCTCATTTCTGAATGAGGTGATTTCTAATTTTAAGTCAACTGATAGTAGAGAAGGAAAAGAAACTACCTCAGGAGTCTCGGCAGGACATATCATGCCCCACTGAGTGTTGTGTAGTTGTCTGGGCCTCGCAAGCTTGCCATCTCTTCCAATGGGCGAGTTGAGGCGTCGCAAATGAGACAATGTGGAGGCAAATGTCAATCTATTCAACACCTGAAACAGAAGATGTACATCTAAATTATATTGTGAAGTATATGAGGAGGGGAAAAGACAACAGTACACACGTTTAAGAATATAGCATCATAGAAAGAGCCAGGAATAGTTTTTCTTCATAGTTAGGACAAATGTCTTCGATCCTTCTTGGGAAAAATGTTATCAATACTACAGACAAAATTGTTCTGTGAAAGACCAGTGAATGGAGAAAATGAACTCATGCGTTGTGCTATTTGCTGTGCAATACCAACTATCTGTCACCACATGAGAAAATGAACATAGAAACGGAAAAGTACCTGAGATACACCAGCTCTGGCCTGATGAGCTTTTTTCTGGTCTCCCCAGTTGCCAGTAGCCAGAGAATACTTGAGGCCATCAGTGATGATCCTCGTTTTGATGGCCAACTCCATGTTGAACTCCTTACTTCTGTCAATGAACTTTTGTGCGTAGATACGAACCTCTTTCATGAGGTTACGGAACAACCTGAGAAGAAACCGCAACAAATTTCATCAACTCAGAATTCATTCTTTTCCTACATTATCAGGCTGTAAGCACACATATATATCAAGGGAAGTTTTAGGTCCCAAAAACCTATAAACTCAACAAAATCTTTTAGCTCACTCAAAAGAGAGTATGTACACATAGTGGTGAACAAGCAGATGTCTACAATCTGTCTCTATGAATAACTCCAAATTAGTAAACATCAATGTTGGCTTACGTACCCTCTAAAGAGAAAAGCGAGCAGTGGTCCTGCCAAATCCAATCTCTTGTTGCCGTAGTGATCACGATCATCCACTTCTCTCCTACCCAAAGCTGCCAATAGAAGTCTGTGCACCATGTATCTGTCAAAACATAAAAGATTAAACATTAATGAATCAAGAACATTTCTTCCAGACAGAGAAACCACAGGCAACCTAGAAACTGCCAGCAGTAGAATAATGAACAGGACTTTCATTACAATATACATATATTTTGGAGGACTTGCATAAACCATGAAAGAATCTTTTAATGTTTCGACAAAGGAATAATTCTGCAATAAACTTGAAACTTTGAAAAATAATAAACTTATTATGACTCTCAATCAAAGGATCTGCATATTACCAACTAACTCAAACAATTTCACAGATACCTAAAGCTGAAGGACCAATTAATATTTGAGCGATACGTTAAATATACAGAAGGAAAAAAAAATGTCATACCCTAAGAAATACGCTTTCTTTGTCTCACAGAATTCACTGACACCAACATGAGGCAACATTTCTTTCTGCAGAATCTCTCTGGCATATTTGATTCTCTTTTCTTTAGTGACACCTGGACGAGCTCCTCTTGCACCAATGAAGTTCAAGGCCACATTCTGTTCTTGAATGACAAAAGCCTCATCAAGGGATGGCTTGACCTGTGGCAAAAAACATAGCAACCTTTAAATCGAACTTCATAAAATACGATTTTCAATTACAAACTTGATAAATGTAAAAACAAAATAGATTGATACAGCACATAAATAAATACTCTCAAAAGCATAAGATGTATGTTTAACAATTTGTGCAGACAGTAAGTTTAACAAAGTAGCCAAACAGTATTGTCTACATCACAATATAAATATATGCAAACAAGGGGTCCACAAAAATAAACCAATTTCTGATATCCTGAATCTGAAGAACAGTCTTGAACAGTCCACAAAGCATGGGGAAAAACACAAACAGGAAAAAAAAAAAAATGACAAGTAGAAGAGCCGATCACAAAAACATCTCATAAAGAGTTTAACAGAAAGCCTAAAGTACACATGGCATATGAGAAAAATCCCTCAGTATCTATAAATTCATTTATAAATGTACACAAACCAAACAGGTCTTTGAGGCAAAACATACAAACTTCTGCCTATCAAAATTAAAGTCTTTGAAGAAGCCAACTGTAGTGGCAATACAAGGCTAATAAAGTTCCAACTTATAATCAAAACTTACAAAACAACTAAAAAAGAAAATAAAGACTAACACACACAAAAAAAACAACACTAGCGTAAGAATACTATTTCATATACCTACCATTTCCATCATTTCAGGATCATCGAAATCATAAATAATGTGTTCCAGGATGTCCCTGTCAGACACAAAGCCCAGGGCTCTGAAAACAATGATGATGGGAATCTCCTGTTTGATGTATGGCAGGATGGAGATCACACGTTGACCAATGGCACTCTTCTTAGAACCCTGTTAAATCCAAAGAAACATTATTTTATCACCAATGCCAAATTAAAATAACAAGTGTAAGAAAAGACTTTAAAAAGCATTAACTTAGCATTCCAAAAGCTAAACATAAGTAACCTAAAAGAACTCAACACTAATATTGACATGAGCTAGCAAAATGGGAAATACATTTTGAGAGCAACAATCTTAATGATAACAGGTGTTTTTTTTTACATGCAAGCACTGTTAATAACATACAAGTTCACAAATTTCCCTGAATTCAAGGTCTAAGACCAAAGGTATCACCAATCACATCATACAACAAAACCAGAGATGGCGAGATACTTTTAGTTTAGTTTAGTTTTAGTAGAGGGTTTTACGGCGCTCGCAACTGCATAAGGTCATATGAGCGCCAAGGGGTGGGTGTCAACAGAGAAGTCTTTACAGGGAATCAGACTTACTCTGCTCGCCTCTCTAGCTTCAACAGCACAAAGTCTGCTTCGACTATCAAGGCAACCCGGAAATAGCAGGTCACAAGAGTGTGACAAACATACAAAAGAAGTAGAGAAAGATGACAATAGTAAGGATTAGGAAAGAAAAAGCAGCACTTCCCTGTTGTAGATCAGACACAGTTATGAGCGTGACATGACGAATCAGCCCATTTACAATTCTACTGTGCATGAATGAGAAATGTCCCCCCTATGGAAATGGCCTAAAGACACTAGTCAGTGGGGGGGGGGGGGGGGGGGGTGAGATAGTTTAAACAATAACCGATCACATTACATAGTACTTACTTGACCTCCTCTGGCCATCATGTTCACCCACAAAGTACTAGTAGGACGTGAGGAGTGCTCCAGACAAGACCGAATTTCAGTTTTAAAAGCATACTTTGAGTCTTTTTGCTGGAACACATACACTGTAAAGAAAGATGAGGAAAATGACACATGAGGAAAATGACACATGAGAAGTTAACTTGTCTCCGTTAACCTTCCCAATAGAGTCAAATTTCAACCAGAAACAGGACAGAAAGGTATGCACAACAACAATGTAACCCTTCAGAATGTCATGCGCTACCACATATCCTTCTACGTAGCAAAATTGAGCCTAGCAGCTGTGTAAATCTAGCAACTGACCTAAGGGAGTTCATGGGTATTGGTCACATAGAAGCTAAGGTGAACAATAAAACCTCCAGTCAAACCATGAGTGTGAGAGGCAAATACTGGACCTCTTCCCTTACCAGCCCCTGCATCCTGGTTGATCCTCAGAAAATTATTTTCCCTTTTATCGTTTGCCCAGAAACCTGGAAAGAGTTCTCAAACCCCGCTTACAAAAGGATCCAAAGGGTTTGGTTACTGTGAATAAATCAAGAAATGAATGATGAAGAAATGAATGTACATGTTTCAGTATAAAAGACCACTGGGTTGAATTACAATTAGAAAGAGAGATAAAAATGTATCCAAAATCAAACAATTTGGACTCAAATTGGACCATACCATGAATATAAGGATTAAATATGAACTTATTCCTGCCAAGAAACTAGAGCAAGACATGAAGGTTACCTGTGTTAGTGGCCATCTTCTCCTGAGCAATGAGCACCTTTTCTGAGCCGTTGATGATAAAGTATCCGCCCGGGTCAAGGGGGCATTCATTCAACTCAGTCAAATCACGATCAGCCAAACCACTGAGCAGACAATATGTAGATCGCAACATGATGGGAATCTTCCCAATGTACGTCTTTTGGTGCAATGTCTCCACTGGGTCTTCCCCCTCTTTGATGACTGTTTTTGTGATATCTACATACAATGGTGCTGAATATCTGGAAAGAAAAAAAATGTGTCAATTTAGTCAAACTTGTTTCAAATTTATATTCTCCACTACATTCCCCCCCTAACGAAGGCACTAAAGACAGAAAACAACCCAGTGTCCCCATACAAGAGGTGTAAGGCAGAAAAAGAAAAGAAAAAACCCAAAAAAAAATTGAACAAGCGAATCAACAACAGAATAAGCATGAATTATTCTCAAAATTGTCAAAAGAAAAATTGGTAACAATCTTATTTTTCTTGCCACAGTGACAATATTCAATTAGTAAATTACAATTCACATACACAATTGTTATAACTGCAATTCTCTTTTGTTAGGGATGTGGTTATTTTTTTTCCAGGTACAACTCTTGCAACCTTGTGTAAGCTAATACCTAAATAAGAAAATAATTTAAGACAGCTACCCACTGTGGAGGAGGAAAATTATTGTCTTAAACAGGTGGACCCCCTAAACAGTGTTATTATTGTACAGAAAAAAAACAAGGGAGGAAGTGGGAAGTAGTTATTTGCACAGGTGACTGTCTCGGACATTTGGTTGTTAGGACAGGTATGACTACACCTTCAGAACTCAGCTGCAAGTCGGATACATCCACCTGTACTCTATGCACATAGGGATTAACAATTTCTGCAAAATCATCCATGTCACACAAAATTTCAAGCAAAACTATCAGAGTTCAACATACGTAAGATTCCGAAGACGGGCCTCATTTGGCATCATGGGGCTGGGTGCACCATCCTTTTCCCAGTGAGTGGGCTTGGACAAGTAAATCTGCTCAAACTTAAGTACATAGCGGGGCTGAAATAGAACAGAAAGACGGATAATTAAGAAAATGGGACTTGAAATTACAATCATGCAAGAAAATCATAGCATCGACGATACCATAATTTATAGAAACTGTCAAACAGATGAAATATTAAATATTACACGAACAAAAAAGTTGAATTAATTATCAGTATTTTTGTCTGAACAAGGCTATCAAATCTTAAGCATTAAAGATTCCAAATCAGCATATCCAATGCTAGTATGCTGATAATATGGGTTTTTCCCCCTTCTTTCTACCACAGTGAACTCAAATAAGAGGAAGATGGCAAAAATATCATCTCCTGAGTATAAACTTCATGTTTGACACTAAACAGTTAATACCCAAGATTGGCAAGTTCCAAACTAAGCATAGTAAATACATATGTCGTCAAAATCAAAATAACAAGAATGCTGCACAGCAAATATATGAACCCTCACCTTTCTTCATGAACTCAATATATATGCGGAACCTTTAGAAGCTAAGGTTATACGTACTGGTGTTTCAACAGTGCCATGTGTGTGCTGTGCTTCTGCCTGCAAGTCAATAGGAGGTGCATCTTCCACAATTCTCTGTACAGACATCTGAATGAACTCATCAAATGAATCCAGTTGCTGTCGCACCAAGCCCTTCTCATCAAAGTAGGAACTGATGACAATCCAGCAGGCCTCTTGCCACAAGTCCATGGTCACCTCATCACTCTCATCATCCTGGTCGTACATATCTGTAGAATGTATTCAGAGCATTTGTAACAAGATGCAGGTGGTAGAGGAACCAATGCCTAACTCTACTCGAGTCCAAACATAAAATGATCCGACAATATTGTTTTATTTAAGCTAGATTATGTTTTTTTGTTGATCTAAAAATAAGAGTAAATTATGAATGAAAGCATGCACACACAATTCTATGGACCATCTCAGTGCCTCAGACTCATTTTTTATATATATACATTATATTTCTAGACCTGTATGTCAGCTACACATCGAGTATAAGACTGTGACAGCAACAAGAAGCAGTGTCACAGAATACTGATCATAACTTACTTAAATATTGACTCAAAATAAAACCACAGAATTTTGCAAATTTTACCCGCAGTTGAAGTCTTCAGGTAAAGGGTATCCAGGAGAAACCACCTTCTTTAAGGACCGTTCATCCTGGTGCTAAACATACCCACACTGAATGCAGGCGAGCACATCACACTTCAAACAGGCCTACAGGAGACCAACTTAAAAAGGGTTTTTATACTTATTCAAAATTCACAACCCATTGGATTAAAAAGTGAGTTCCATTCAAAGTAAAAAGCTTAGTACATGCTGAAACACCTGAAACAAAACCAGCGGAATGTCCAACCATCTACTCAGTGGCTACCCAAAAACACATTAACCGACACTACACACTTTTTGTTCTTTCCCCATTAGCCCATTTAATAAAAATACACATGATTTTCTATCAAGTTTATCTGTCAATTATTGGAAGAAAATTTGGAATAATCCGATTTTGGCCAAAACAATCTATGGGGTAAGGGTTTTTGCTCCACCGATAATTACTTCTGTTTCTAAACGATTACTTTCCGACGCCCATGCCAATATATAGGAGAGATTTATCAAACCTAATTGCAAAAAATCAAATTATGGTTAACTTCTGGGGGGCATCCCCCATGATTCTACGCCGGGACGGGGGGGAGAGCCGCCTTGTTAAAAACAAGTGAAATTTTTCTGTTAATTTTAATTTTGTGCTGAAAAATAACAGGGCTACAAACGCAAGTATTAGGCCTAACAACAACGTGTTGTTGTACATTGGGTCTAATAATGTGTGCTACAAACGCAAGTAATAACGTGCGTAGGCTCTTTGTTGCACATTGAGTCTAACAATTTACGCACCTAAAATGCACTTTTTCCCTTTCTTCAAAACTGTGATTTAAAAGTGGATATATAGAAAATCTAGACCTATCTAGAGATAGATACAGGGTCCCCACCAAATCCTGGAAATTTATTTCAAGACCCCCAAATTTTTTTCAAGACCCAATTCAAGGGAAAAATCAGGCTGCTGTGCGTCAAGAATGATCCCCCAAAAAGGCCATCTTTTTTTATTCTATCAATGATAAAAAGTCAAAATGTCTTTGAATGCAAATACATGTACATTTTGTAATACAGTCTTCAAACAACAGATGATTATAATGCTGAGTGACTGCCAACCAAGCTTCTCAATTTTCCAAGGGAGGGGCCTCATCCATTTTCCAGGGGCATATTAGATAACAATGACAGCCCATGCTTCATTTATATCTAATATGTTCAGTGTGGCACTGGGATCTTCGTGCGACTTTGGTATTTCAGTCCTTATTTTTACTTATTTATATTTTCCCCTCATCACATGAGCCTAAGTCAACTATAGGCCCTATTAAAAAATGAATCCTGTTTTGAGCCTGAGAAAAGACCTAGAACTAGAATATCGATTGTCAATAACCAGTCTGGGAGTCATGATTCATATAATAAACGAGAAGACGAAAACTATTGCTCAAATCAAAGTAGAGTAATAGTAATATTAGTGTAATAACTTGAATGGCTCAAGTAGTAGACACTATTCAGTGCGAGAGGTGTAAGAACTGACTCTTACTGAGGGAGGGCAAGATGCAGTGACACTGAAAATCTGCCAATCTTGACTAAAATATAGATAAATTACAATCACCCCATCCAATGAAACGCGAACACTTAAGTTCAATAACAAAGCATGACGGATCCCGATTCCACACAAGGCCTGCACCAACGAGCGCTTTGCAGAGAGCTCTTATAAAGTGTTCTCAAAATCCTAAATACTAAAAATTTGCTTCCAAGTTAAGTTTTTGACCTCTTGCATTGCCTTCAGCTCCCCCCCCCCCCCCCAACCACCATCCCATTCCCTGAGTGTATCTTATTTTTTTAAAAAGCAATACACCTCCCCCCCCCCCCCCATTCCGGAGTCCTATACTTCACAGCGCTCAGACCGCTGATACACAAACTCACAGGTTCAATGACCGGTCACGACGGCGAACGTGACACGATATTTAGCTTTCTTTTCTTTTTTTCACAAGTGACAGCAGAGGACAAAATTTTTAATATTGATTTATTTTCAAGGCGACACAGCGTTTGTAATACACAGGTTACAAATGTTGCGTTATCTATCAGACTATTACCGGAAAATTTCTGGGTGGTAACGAAAGCGAAAGCAGATCTTGATTCTTCCCGATCGAGTCTCGGTGTCACACATACACTTCCACCTGCCGCCATAGTGGTTCAATTACTAGTGGTTCAATTACGTTTCCTCTTCATGATTCATCAACCATACACTGTTTAGAGTCTAGATAGCTACGCTACTAATATTACACAGGCCCCTTTCCCGACTTACCCACCCATCACAAAATTCCCGACTTTTTCCTGACATCCTAACCCATTAAAAAATTCCCAACTTTTTCCCGATTTCCCGACCAGGTGGGGACCCTGTAGATAGATCTAAATCTAGATCTATATCTAGATCTAGAAACTACTGACTGATCAAGATCACTGTGGTGATGATCTGCATTATTTTGTTGGCCAATCCCCATCCATAGTTCTAGATCTAGATCTAGATCTAGATCTAGATCTAGATCTAGAATCTAGATCTAGAGTCAAGATCTAGAATCTAGTCTAGATATCTAGATCTTCACATCTAGATCTAGATTAGATCTAGATAGATATAGATTCTAGATCTAGATCTAGATCTAGAATCTAGATACTACTGGATCAGCTTCTTCGTTCTCTCTTGATCAACCCAAATGCTTAGCGTTCCTTAATCAAAAGTCCTAAGTCTATTACCTATAAATTCTAGGGCCTAGCTTATTACAATAATAGCGGGGTGTTCTTATTCCCCATGCCGCAAACCAGGTACACGACCTGTTTCGTGTTTATCACAAGGCAGTAGATCTACAGTAGTACAGCTTTTCCTCATCATTCATCTTTTGCCTTTGCCTTTATTGTTGAACATTGCACGTTGAGGACTGGGGTTGGCAGAGACAATGGAAGAGACTCATCAAGGAATATTGGGCAGCTTGACAAAGTCTAATTATAATATGAATCTCTTATTTGTAGTTTTAGTACCTTCATCTTGTCCATACATCATCTTGACAGATTTTTGTGTGTGGAATTGGGGAGAGAGCAGAAAACGCTTGCTAAGCTCTCAAATGGATGCTCCGTATTGCTGCTCTCCTTCGTTGAAATCAATAAAATTTCTTTCATCATCACATTGGATAGGCCTACCAGATTTTTCAGCATTTACAGCTTACGACACAGTTCTGGTGAAGGGATCTAAGGTCGAGTCTCTTTGACTGACAACTACAGAGCAATTTCGGCTGCAATTGTATCTCAATCTATCCATATTCTCTATCTCTATTTATTTATTCGTAAACGATAATTTTCAGTATTGTCAGTTTTGCCCTGTTTTCCGTAAGCTAACGGGTTCAGGGACCTAACAGGAGTTAGCCTTTTATTTTGCATAAAATCCTCTTCTTCTTCTTCTTCTTCTTCTTCTTCTTCTTCTTCTTCTTCTTCTTCTTCTTCTTCTTCTTCTTCTTCTTCTTCTTATCTCCATCATTATCATCATTATCTTTATGGAAGAGCTATCTTTGTTGATGTGTGCTAAGTAAGTGTTTTGCCTCTGTGCGCGAATTTTTAAAGGCTGCGTGTGTGTGTGTGTGTGTGTGTGTGTGTGTGTGT